TCGACAGTTCCCCACTCCCTTCATGCGCTGACTGGCGACTGCTCCCCTCCCGTCTCCCCTCTCTCTCTCTCTCCTGAAACTTCTCTCTCACTCCTCCGCAGCTCCTCCCGACTTCAACCCTCCCCCTCGATCGCTTCGCTTTCCTTCGCTCCATCCTCGCGTCTGCGCGACTCCCGCTTCCTTCCTCGCTAAGCCTCCCTCCCCTCGTTAATGCATCTCCCTTCTCCATCTCGCCCCATCCCTTCCCGGTCCTAGCCCGGAGCCCCGATGGAAACGCATCCCTCCGCCGCCGCCGCCGCCTCCCCCTCCCCGCAATCCCTCCTCGACCTGATAAGCCCACTCCTCTCCCTCCTCCTCCTGTCGTCCCTCAACCCCCGGTCCTTCGCCGGGCGGTGGCAGGCCCTCCGCTCCAAGCTCACCTCCGTCCACTCCTCCCTCTCCTCGCTCTCCTCCTCCCCGCACTGGTCCGACAACCCCCTCCTCCTCACCCTCCTCCCCAGCCTCCTCGCCACCCTCCAGCGCCTCAAGTCCCTCCACGACCACTGCTCCGACCCTTCCTTCAATGGCGGCAAGCTCCACACGCAGAGCGATCTCGACATGGCCTCCACCTCCCTCTCCAGCCACCTCCACGACCTCGACCTGCTCCTCAGATCCGGCGTCCTCCACCAGTCCAACGCCATCGTCCTGTCCCAGCCCGGCCCGGGATCCGGCAAGGACGACGTCCGGTTCTTCGTCAAGGATCTCTTCACGCGCCTGCAAATCGGGGGGATCGAGTTCAAGAAGAAGGCTCTCGAGTCGCTGCTTCAGCTCCTCGCTGAAGACGAGAAGTCCGCGAGCCTCGTCGCCAAGGAAGGTAACGTCGCTTATTTGGTCCATCTGCTCGATCTGAATAACAACAATAGCTCCGTCCGCGAGCAAGCGCTCGCGGCCGTCTCGATTTTGGCCTCCGCGAACGACGAATCGAGGAAGAGCGTGTTCGAAGGAGGCGGACTGGGGCCGTTGCTAAGGATCATCGAGACAGGCTCTTCGGCGTTCAAAGAGAAGGCCGCCATTGCCGTGGAGGCCATAACCGCCGATTTGGAGAACGCGTGGGCCATTTCTGCGTACAGCGGCGTCTCTGTGCTCGTCGAGGCCTGCAGATCAAGTTCTCCGGCCGCTCAGTCGCACGCAGCGGGGGCGATTCGGAACGTCGCTTGCGTGGAGGACATAAAAGTGGCTTTGGCCGAGGAAGGCGCCGTTCCGGTGCTTGTGCAGTTACTGAGCTCGAGTTCGACGTCGGCAATAGAGAAATCAGCCGGCTCGATTGCGATTTTGGCGGAATCCGGCGAGTACTTTCGCACTCTGATATTACAGGAAAGAGGATTGCAGAAATTAATGCGTTTGATTCAGGAGTTATCGAGTCCGGATGCGTTGGAAAGCGTCTTGCGTGCGATTAGCTCGCTGTTAGCTTCGGATGCCGTGGCACGCATCTTGTCGTCTTCGACTGCATTCATTGTTCAAATCGGCGAGCTAATCAAGCACGGAAACATCAGATTACAGCAGATTTCGGCGTCGTTGTTGTCTAATTTGTCCCCAAGCGATGGCAACAAGCGAGCGATCTCGAGCTGCATGAGCTCACTGTTGAAGCTGATGGAGTCGCCGAAGCCGGTCGGGTTGCAGGACTCGGCGGCGCAGGCGCTGGTGGCGCTGCTGACCGTCCGGTCGAACCGGAAGGAGCTGGTGAGGGACGAGAAGTGCGTGACGAGGCTGGTCCAGATGCTGGATCCGGAGAACGAGCTGGTGCCGAAGAGGCTCCCGGTGGCCGTGGCGGCGGCGATCGTCGGGCCGGCCAGCCAGGGATGCCGGAAGAGGCTCGTGGCCGCCGGGGCTTACCAGCACATGCAGCGGCTGGCGGAGATGGAGGTCGCCGGAGCGAGGAGGGCGTCGCAGAGGCTCGCCGGAAACAGACTGAAGACGATCTTCAGCCGGACGTGGAGGGAATAAGCGGATTTGCCCCAACTAACCCACCCGGCCAAACGAAAGGTGAGTCGTCTTCGCCGAGGGTAAAGCGGGAAATTCGTTGTTACAGTTTCGTTCAGGGAATAATTCTCCGCAGGCGTTAGGCCAATCACGGGGCGCCATGTGGCCGCCCGCGCTCTGTGAATCTTGTATGGGATTCCGAGCTTGGCGCGTGAAATCGAAAGGGCTCTCCTTTTCTTAGCGCCTTCGTTTTTAGAAGTCCTGTGACGGTTCTGCCCCTAGGGTTAAGAGAAAGTCGGGCCTCCTTGACCCTTTGAGTGGGCGCGTATCATTTCCGCGGGGTCATGTCGTTTCTCATCAAAACGGCTCTGGTGGGGCTTGAAATGAACACGAAAAAACCTGCGAGGGTTTTTTCTTTTTAATCATCTCGTTTGCGCAAGCCTTCTCGAGAACACATTGATGGGTCAAAACATCAAACATTCCGGAGACAATGTCGACTTTTTTTGAGCCATTTTAGCAGCATAAAAAGTGCATGCTTTCAGCCTCTGCACCATATTTTACCATTCATTAGTGCTATGTTTGCCAAGATTGGGACACCAAAGAATGTGTCCACTTGATTGGCATTAAAAACGTTTACAACTTCTTTTTCATTACTAGTGATAGTTATGGTAGAAAAATAAAATGGTCGAGTGGTTCTGGTCTTAGTGTGCGGGTAGAACACCAGTTTTGAACTTTTCTTTGCGTGTACATAAATATATATAGATATGAAAGCACACATGGTCCTCATCCCGCAAATAATCCCGAAATTTGCGGGATTAGCATGTAGTCAGCAGTCGTTCTTTGGTTAGGTTTCTTCAATTTCACACTCGTGGGTTGGTGTTACATGCCGCATTCCGCCGAATCTGTGGGGTGGTTGCGCATATTTTGACCAAATGCCACCATGTGAGAGGGAGACTAACTCAGATTCTGGACGCATTTCGCTTTTTTATTTCCCTTTTTTGCGAGTTAGACACATATTCACTTTTATAAAATGACTTGTGATTCACGCCCTCTTTCTTCTGACCCCTCCGCTGTGATGATTGTCGTTGAACAGGGACTGATGCGCCTTCCTCGGATTTGTCTAACCGTCAAAGAGGGAAAAACTACCAGCCAACACACACTCACATGCTCCGAGCTGTCCGAATTCTTTTTTTCTTTCCCTTTTGCCCCCCTCTTTTCTTTTTTATCATAGAAGTATATTATTATGTCCAAAAAGAAAAAAAGAAAATCTCTTTGCCACTAATATTATATGATAGCAAAAGCATGATGGATGCGATTTTTAGGGAGTATCCTCGTTTTGCTTTCTCAGTCTTGTCTTGTTGCATAGTCGGTTAATTTAATGTGCTCATGAAGCTGTAAGAGCGAGGTTCCATTGTGATTTGTCTTATGACCCCTTCATATCTTACGTAACGGTCTTGGAGTTTTTTTCCTGGCTGATTTGTAATGAGAGGAGTTTCTTAAATTAAAGAATTGCGAGTGCTTCTTCTCGTGTGCTCCTTTTTCTTTTGTTACTTGCACTGTCTCGACTCTCTTGATGCACTGATCTCATTCATTCATCCATCGTCTGGTCGCCTTTGTCTGGTTTTTGCCTGGGCCCCTTCTCGATGGGCATGTCTGGAGGCCTTTGACTGTGACTTGACTTCTATGCAAGCGCTGAGAATGAAAGGTAGGTATGGATGGCGGTGATGAGTGACCGAGAGAACCTATGAAATGGGTCATGCCTGCCTTGGCGATACTTAAACACTATCAATAAGGAGGCACGAAACTTTTCCAAGTGATTTCGCTTTTCATGCGTCTTTTTCCCAAGTTGGTTTCTGTTTTCTTTTCTATTAATTTTCGTTTTCTTTTTTAAGTTTTGGGAATCAAGAGCAATGATGAGGCTCATAGGTGTCCATGGTTTGCGCAATGAGCTGGCTGTTTCATCACGGAGGGCGATTCCTATTACCTAATTGGGTCCCCTTCTCTCTCTCTCTCTCGGAGGGCGATTCGTATTGCCTTATTGGGTCCCCTTATCTCTCTCTCTCTCTCTCTCTCTCTGTGTCAGATTTCTAGGCACATGGAATGATTGAATTATTGCGTATCCATTACATACGCCAAGAGAAAAAGAAGTGGGAATAAGTAAAAGCACAAAAGACTGGTCAACTTTCATTTCATGCACCGATTTGGGTATTCGATTATTTTCTCTCTTTAAAATATACTAAAGTAGAGAAGGGCAGGTCTCAAGGTAGTATGGGGAGGTGGGGTTCGATTCGATATGATGTTTGTAGAATCTGAAAAGGCGAACAACGCAGACAAGAGAGGGAGGAAGCACCGGCGGAGATGGAGGTGAGAAGTCTGTGAAAAGAGACCATCAGAGAGACAGAAGCCATACGATATGGCGGGTCCCTAAACAGCGACCTCACACATAGGGCAAAGAATAGAGGAAAAAAGGGTATGACAATAGGGTATAGCGCATCCTAAACTAGATATGAGTGGTCGTTTTCTTCACTTCATTCTTCAAGATACTGCAACTGAATATGTTAAGAGGAGGGAGCTCCTTTACAGCTTGTGCATGCAGTTCCCTTGAAGCAAGCACCGAGAGAACTTGACCACATGACATGTAGTCCTTTGAAATCTTGAATCTTGTTGGGTCATGGGTACCTACCCAGATTAGGACCGACGTCGCTTATCTTATTGGGTCTTGTCTAGACTTTTTGAGGTTCATATTTCTTAGGAATATCTGTTGATGGTAACCAAACGCTCGATGAGATACAATTAGCTTTTAGTGTGAGTATCAATGTGGTTCTATTCTTAATATATCCAATGATTTATCAAACAAGTGGTGTGGCGTTATACAGGAAACCCCGGATTCATACCCCAAACCTTATTCTCATCTATTGCAAGTTTAGGCGAATGACCAAAAGCAAATAATGTATGAGCGTTCAAATGGCCATAACAAATCTCTGTTAATTGTTTTGGTTGCTGAGCATCAGGCTGTGTTCTTTGAATGAGCAATCATTGAAAAAGGAAATAACGTAATCGGTTAGACCACAACTAAGATGAGCTAAGTATCGTCCTGTGATTATATACACAAACTTGTCGGCAACGTACACGGCTACTTCATATGTTTTGCTATGATCTTGTTCTGGCGCTGCAACCACAACTGTTGCTCATACCGCAAGTTTTCTTGGTTAGTGGATCCATCAGACCTCTGTCCACTGGCCACCACTTCGAAGCTTGACGTGAATGGATCGTTCTCGATTTGTGCTGTAACTGCATTCGCATTTGGATTTTGTGCGCCGGTAGTCAGTTTTGGTGTAGCATGGAAGGTGGGAGCAACTGAGAACAGATCAGTGCCAGAATGGAAAGCCTCGCCGGAGGCTGCGGTGGATGCCAGCACTGTTGCGCTTGATGCAGCTGTGTCCTGCAGAAATGGATTATTTTGAGAACTAGGAATTGGGGCGTCGCGGAAAAGATCAATCACAGTGGTGGAGGCTGATCCTGAATCATTGGGAATCGTAGCATTCACATTTGGTTGCACTTGTCCTGCTGTCATAGCCAATTCTAGCTCCCAGCAATCTCTTGAACTATTTTTACGATTTGGTCTTGAATTGTGCTGTCCTTGCTCTTGATGTGGTACTTCTTGTGGTGGCCAGTCATCGAAAGATACAAAAGTTGCTGTTGAACTTGTTTCTTGAGGATCTGTTGATGATGAATGCGGCGAATGTGTACCCGTGTTGGTGTTCACGCTGTCCTCTTGATCCGGTTGCTTCTTGAATTGTTCAATCTTAATTTCTTGCTCGAATGTGATCGATGGGCTAGTCCCCACATCCGTCACACTTGTCACGTCCTCTGGGGACTTGCACTGCGAGCTGAACTCGGAACCCTTCTCGGAAAATCCCTCCGTGTGCTCTGAGGTCTCAGAGCATTCGTAGGAACCAAACTGCTCGGATGTTGCACTGGAATCCTTCCCGCTGCCTGGCGTCGCGGGAAGGAGCATCTGCGGAGATGACATCCTCCCACTAGCCGGGAACGAGTCCTGGTCCTTCAAGAACTCCCGCAATGTCTCGATGAGCTCATCGGATATCTTCTGCACGCTCGGGTATTCAGATGTCCGACCGACCCCCAAGTTCTTGCACAAACTGTAATAAGATGATAGTTCTTCGAATTGCTTCGAGGCCTTGATGCTTGTTTGGAAGGCACTGACACAAGTCTGGTATTGCAATTGGAAGAAGCTATCCAAGAGCAGTGCAAGGCCATCAGATATGTCTCTGTACAGATCAAAGCTCTCCTGAACAATGGCATGGAGTGAGATCTGAACCAAATTGTTGCCCTTGGCCGAGCCTGTTGGCCTTGTGGCAATGGCCCTCTCAAGCAGTCTCTGCCAATAAGTGATCCTGTCGAGCAACATTCCGGGCTTCATATCCCTAATGATTGGCTCGGTTGCTCTCCTGTTCACGAGCTGCTCGTTTTCCCTCTTCCGGTACGCCACCTGCCGTTGCAGCTTCCCCATGAGGAAGCAATCTAATCGCTCATCGAGGTAGAGTGCGAATGTCCGGACGTAGGCAGTGTAGTCCCACGGGCTCGAATTTGAGTGGTCACGGAAGCTCGACAGGTTGAGGATCTTGCCACCGCGCTTCATCGTGTGGAGCACCTCCCTGGGGAAGTAGGGGTCGCCGTCCTGGAAGATCCGGAGGACTAGCATTAGGGACTTGAGCGCGACGATCCAATTCCGGGTCTTGCCGATGCGCTTGGCGAGCAGCTGCGCGCAGGTCGCTGCGTAGACCTTGTTCGAGGCGATCAGCTTGAGGATCTCATCCACATGACGCTCCTCCATGGGGACCTCCTCATGCGAGGTGGTCTTGAGGACCGTGACTTCGAGGATGGACGCATTGGTGTTGCCGACCTTGGCGAGGCTTATGCTTGTTTGATCCTTCACGGCCCCGATCGCCTTCTTCAGCTTGCTCGGCATGGCGGGTCGATCCTCTATTGTTGTTTCAGGAATTCATGAGGACATTCTGCTTCAATTCCTATTCAAAGTCCTAAACTTTCGGGAATGAACCGCCAATGTTCCTCCGTTTCCCTCCTTAACCATCAAGGGGTTTCTTTTCTATAATTGGGCTATGGTGGTTTTGACAATTAGAGGTGTTGCTTTGGGGGAAAAATGGAAAAACAAAACAGAGCGAGTGGTTGTTAGTATTGCAGGAAAACACACAATCCTGCTTGCTTTTTGTGATGTCCCAACTTACAACTGCATGTAACTGGATTCAGTTTTGGTGTCGCCTTAATGTTCTCTAAACCGAAGTCGACACGACACGGATTCGCATCCGTTGGTGACCGAGTCAATGGAGAACTTAGAGATCCTACATAGTACCGAACGACGGTGAGGTCGCGCAGCCGCCTGGCTGCGCGCGGAGCGAACCAGTTATTTAGCAGTTGTTTTACCATAAGGATGATCACAGTCCTTATGGGAATCATATGAGCTTCACGTGAAATTGACCGACTAATTTTTTTTTTATATATATAGCTGAAATCAATGAATAATTCCCACTCCAAAATCCTAAATTTTGATCTGTTATTGTCCTAGGGGAATTGAGGGATTTGAAAAAAAAAATCTTGAAATTGTATGAGAAGGTATTTTATGTATTAGATGCGTGGGTCACACTGACTTATGAAGAATAGAGTGAAATGAAGTGAATTTTGTACGGTCGAAGTGAAATGAAGATAAAACAAATTGGATGAAATGATACTTAGTCAATAATACAACAACTGGTTACATTTCGTTGTGTTCGTCAATGTATACATAAGCCTAATTCCCTAAAAGAAATTGTCTAACTTTAGGTTTAATCTCAATCCTGCCCAAACATTTTTTATCCAAAAAAATAATTGTCAACTTTCACTCCAGTCTCAAATTTGCCCCCCCTCCTTGTTAACCCGGCCACTGCCTAAAACTCATGATGTTGATAATTTTGAACAAATCATGGGCGATTTTTGGACACAGGGTTAAGGGCGCGAATTTGGGAATATTGCGAAGGTTGGTGATTTTTTGTTAGGGAAAATGACATAGACAGTCCCTGAACTTTGACCTAATGTGCAATATGGTCCATCAACTTTTGATACACGTTCAAACTAGTCTCTATACTATATGAAAATGTTCAATGTGGCTCATGAACTTTTAATTCATTCAATATGGTCCCTGAACTTTTGGTACATGTTTAAACTAGTCTCGGACTATATGAAATGTTCAATGTTATCATTTTTTGTACATGTTTAAACTAGTTTCACCATTCCTAACATCAAACATCTTCATTCAGTCTAGGACCATATTTTCATATAATCCAATGACTAGTTTGAACATGTACCAAAAGTTTATGTACCATATTAAATGAATTAAAAGTTCATGGATCACATTGCGCTAAAGTTCAGGGACTATCTGTATCATTATCCCTTTTTTAAAGATAGAGAAGAAAAACTCACGCAATGTTTTTTTTTTTTTATCTGTTTTACTCTAACTTTCGACTTATTCTTAGACTTTTGCAGGGCGTGGAAATTGAAACTCACATTTGAAACAAACATCCCCGTTCCTAACCTCGATAATATCACCTCTCTTTTTTTCTAAATAAAAAGGATGGCCACCGGAGCAAGCTTCTCGTAACATTGAAATTGGACCTAAAATCGAGAGCATGTTGGGGTTATCAATGGATAAGATATCCGATTGACTCCCACACGTCAACACGATTGCTTCTCGAAGAAGTCTTTAAAAGAACTCCCTTTTCGAACAAAAAGAAGCACACAACAAAAAAAAAAAAACCTAGTTGCTCCGCTCGAAGTCAAGCTTCTGCGATCACAGAGAGAGAGAGAGAGAGAGAGAGAGCGAGATGTCGGCGTCCGGGGTGACCCAGCAACAGGAGGAAGACAAGAAGCCGAACGATCAGTCCGCCCACATCAACCTCAAGGTCAAGGGTCAGGTACTGTCCGTCCGTCCGTCCGTCCGTCTCTTCCGTGTTTTTCCCTGCCTTTCTTCCGACGAAGAACGGCTCGCATTTCGGTTCTCATCTCGCGGTGGCTTTTCGCCCTTCCTGCTTGATGCCCGTGCTGCATTTCCCCTGTTTGCGGAAGCAGCTTGCGCGCTCCGACCATGCGGTGTGAAAAAGGCGGGATCTTTCGCCGGAAAAAGACGATCTTTTTTGTTGGGTCCGTCCGTGGTTGTTCCTCTTGTCTCTCGGGTGTGTGATTCTGAATCGTGTGGTTTTTGCCCTCTTGGTTCAGGCTCTGTTGTCTTCGTTTCTGCCCGATCGTTTTCTTTCGAGCTGCGTGAAACTAGGGCATGCCCTTTTATCTTGAGAGGGCTTTTTAGTGCTGTGTGTATGATCACCATATGAGGAGGTTAATGACCCTTTCAAAAGTTACCTCTCGCAGCAAGTTGTTGGCCTGCTCAAAATGTGCTTGTGCCTAGCCAATTTTGCGTACAAATGTTGGGGTTTGCTATGGTCTCTCGACAAACCAATCGCCTGTCCTGAGAACGTCTGTCTATCGGAAATGTCGAACCGCACAAACTCTTTGAAAAAAAAAATTAACTGTATGATCGAGATCTTTTTTTGGTAATCCATTGTTTGCCTGTCCCCGAAGATCGGATCCTCGAGGATGGGTAGAGATGTTCATGATTAACAGTCGCCAATGGAGATGGACATGTGAAGGTTGTCTGCGGTCGTGGATGCATTAACTTAGATTAGTGGAGGTAGAGTTGCGACCTTTTGCAATACCCTCGCCCAGGAGCGGGATGCAGACACTTTACAGGAAATGCCGTGGACTTATGTTTGTATTTACTAATTGTTGCACTAAGAGAGCGGCCATGGGGATGGAGATGTCCTCCGCCTTGCCTTGATCTGTCACTGGTCGTGTTGCTAAAGTATAGTCATAATTTAGTTGAGAAATATGGCTGATCCATGAACTTTCTCTCTACCTTCCCGTCTCATGCGCATGAAAAATTTCTTCCATGTGATTATTTTTTTGTTTTTCCATTATGACCTGTCAATCAAATTGTAGTTGCTGCATTATGCGCGGTTTTGTGTGTCCCTCAATGGCATTGATCTCAAAATGTTTTTGCTTTTCTATGTCAATACTACTAATTGCTAGCTTTGTCCCTCTTGCTGTGACGAAATACACCCTATTGTGGGCACGAGGGACAATTTCTCAGTATAACTCCATGATCTGTTGATCTCCTAATTCTTACGTAGAATCTATTGTTTGCACTGTTAGTTATCATTTTAGTTTTTAAGCGTTAGTAATTGTTCATTCTTAATTTTATCCAATTGAATTTTGCAGAGGAGGCACTCCTATGGAATAGCACGCTTCCAAGATAAACCTTGGACTTTTCATTAAATGGTTTCTGTGTCCTGTAATTGTAGTTGTCTTATAAACAGAACGGAGGTTGTTTTTTTTATTTTGAGTTAGGTAGAGAAAATAAAATTAGGTTTGTTAAGGAAAAATTACTTCCTAGTGTGATATTAGTTTATCCAAAGTGAAGGCAAATACTCATATTAATCTGTGTTGTTGACTGACTGTTACCTTGTTTTCTTCAAGGATGGGAATGAAGTCTTTTTCAGGATCAAAAGGAGCACTCAACTGAAGAAGCTCATGAACGCCTATTGTGACAGACAATCTGTGGAGATGAACTCCATTGCTTTCTTGTTTGATGGCCGCCGTCTGCGAGGCGACCAGACTCCTGATGAGGTCCCTTTCTCTTTTGCATAGATACCCTGCTGAAGTGTTGAAAAATAAGCTTTAGACAGTCTCCTGAAATGCCTGAGTTCTCTCTTTTCCTATTTCAGCTAGAGATGGAGGATGGAGATGAGATCGACGCTATGTTGCACCAGACTGGCGGAGCTGGGACTTTGACTTAAGCTCCTCTTTCCGAAACTCTGCGGTCTGTAAATATGTTATGCTATGTTAAAATACCTATGGTTAACATCGCTAGTGGTGGAAAATACTATGTTGGAGACTTTGCCTTATGAGTCTTTTCTAGTAGGCATCTTTACTGGGACTTGTCACCCTAACTGCATATTAACCTGGTTTGCTATTCTGAATCTCTGATATAAATAGGAAGACTTCTATGGCTGGTGCCTTTTTCATTATTGACTGTTACGTTTGGGCGCTTCGATATTTTGCTGTTTCTCGTTACTGAAATCAGTTCAGTCCTGGTACTTGGATACTTGAAAGCCGAATTTTCCTCCCATTTGGTGTGAAGGCAGAGAAAACAAGGGACGATTCATCTACCACAAGCCGATCCATATTTATTTTCCCATGAGTCAACAATAACACGTGTCAACTTCTCTGATGGCAATGGAGATGTATATACGAACATGTTGCTACGAATGGGCCGAGAATCCTCCCCCTTCCCATCCGTCAATTGAACGAAAGCGTAGGAAGACTCATTGAGCATGCACTAGTAGTCGAAGAATGTCGCAATTTGCCTATACGAGCATAGAAGCATTGAGTTTAGATTTATGGCTAGGATCCTCAAAACCGGAAACCGTATGGTCGTATGCTCTCAGATTTCTGGCGAAACCCTATCGAGCCAGAGGTTAGAAATTGATGTATTATCAGCTCGGGGGAAATGGACGAGCCAGGGGATTAGTTCATTTCTATTCTGTCCGACACAATCCGAAAATTGTGATCGAGAACCTGCAGCAAACTAGAAAGGATGCGATGCGCCTTTCAATTAACCAGATTTGAGTTCATTTCGGTGTTTGAAACTAAAATTCCAATTTTGAGCAAAGCCACAGTAAGTGTTGCCACTGGTTGAAGGGGGAGTAAAAACTTTCAAATTATACAACTAGACCCCCGCAATCAACACAGAACGTAGGACAATATAATATACAAGCCACAACAAAAAAATTAGGGAAGAAACCGCACATGATGATGTGAGAACTTGAGCCGCATCCATAAAGGCAAAATTTATCTTTTCCCGCACTGGATTGGATACTCAACAGCTGTACGGGCTAAGTTACACTGGAAAAGGATCTAGCGCATGCATTATGTATATACAAGTTGAAACAAAAGGATGTGACAACGAATGAACAAATGGAGAAAGGTGAAGATGGATAGCCCTGTAGGTTGTAAATCTCGAGATGAGGATGAGCAACATTGAAGTGGAAATGTTGAAGAGGCAACTCCCAGTCTGCCTTCTGGTCTTAGGATGGATCCAAAGCTTCTGCAATGCCTGCTTCCTTCTTTCCCTGCTTTTCTTTGGAGTTGCTTTCCATGGAGGCTTCTTGGAGGCCTCGATTTTGGGGGTGCCAGATGCCCTCACTCGTCGCAATTCCGTACGATACGAAAATCCCTCCACTTTTGTTAATCACAAAGGTTTAATATGCGCGGCTTTTCCTCCTCCTTTCTTTCTGTTGAACATAGAAAAAGGAGGGATAAATTGTTTTTGATCACGTCAGCAGCGGCATCAGCTCTAAGCAAGATTTGTGAAAAATGAAAATCACAAGTTCCAATTAAGCAATTCTTCTCCTTCACTATGCTAGAGAAGATAGTGATAATATGAAAAAAAAAAAAAAAAAAATCCTCCCCCAGGAGACCAGATATAATCCAGAACGCAAAAGGCATTACGAAAGGCAAGCTATAGTTCAATGTCGTGATCAGCAATGCGCATAATAAAATTGTTCATATGCTCTGCGGTTTGCATAATCATACTATAAGGACAACAGAGCATTTCCTCTCCACCACTATCCAGGTACGACTTACAAGACATTACGCTAAATTAAACTATCATCGAATTTCATGATGACTTTGTCATGCAAATAATCAATTCGTGGGGATGCTCTGATGATTGCATTCCTAATCCACTAATTTATTGCATCTGAGGTTTACTTACTGGGCTTCCGCTTCTGAGTGTTGACCTGCGATGACCATGATCTGGAGAGTGTGACCCTGGAGTATGACCCAACCTTTGCACAAATCCTTGACCATGATTATAAATGCTGCATGAGATCATACAGGATGACCAAAGGTAAGAAGGCTTCAAAGTCATGAAAAAAGAAGACCATATAAGGCGACGAGGATTCCTATCTCATTGCAAAGAGTAATTGGCCAATACGAAGGAAAAAAGAAAGAAGAGCATCCTAATCTTAAGCCACGAAATAAAATGTTCCAAGGGCATCTCTGCACCAGACATTGTTAAAAAAAAAACGGAACAATGACCTGAGCTTCATGGTTGTAGCTGATTGACCCATTCTACACTTACAGGAAATAACCATGTCGCTATATAGTACTCGTCTAAGTTAATTTTCACAATCTTACTTTCACAAACCAAATGAATGCCACTAGCCAGAACGGCTGCCTCAATCTTCTGTCCTGATCTCTAGTAACATGTCTCGGGCATCAGAATTTATGGAGGAGGGTGCATGCAAGGTGCATATGGTACCATGCCAAGAACAAATCATAAAAATGTATCCACACCTGAGGCGATGCCTATTGCAGGCTGAGAAAAAGGCAACGAACCCATTCAATATACTCCTTACAGCACGGAAGACCTGACAACAAATTGACATTAAGACTTCTTGAACAACAAATCAAAATCTACCTTGCATCGTCAATTAAACAAAGCAACTGGCTATGTGACATACGTGAGAAAAAAGATCATTCCAAAGCATACGCCACATGGAAACTTCATAAGTATTCACTGCAGTACTAGCAGCGGAGGCACTCTGGAATATGATCCTAATGGTCTGCCAAACTTCAATTATAGAGCCATATACGGAAGTCCACAGAAAAGTCACCATATTCCCTAATGCAAGGACCATGCGGATGGGCAAGTACAGCGTCTCCCAGAGGACCCAAAATATGGGATACAAGATGGAAGTTCCTGCAAAGCAGGTCAAGGCCTACTATCAAGATAGTTACAACAATACCCCACCAAAAGACCAAAAGGATGCACTGTTTATGTAGTCTCGCTAAATAGAATGTGTGCAGAATCCTCAAATGAAAGCGAAAGTGTTCAGAAACTGAAAGGCAATAAATGGTCACACACATATGTTCCGTACCAATTGTCCAGATTGCTGAGAGTATAAACCACAGTGGCTGCAGTACAATGTCTGATAGGTTTTCCACTAGACTGCAAGAAGATCCAATAACAAACCAAGCAACAGAGAAGAAGCTCCCAACCACTCCAGAGCACACATTCCACAAAGGAAGAAGGCACTCAAAAAGCTCTAAAAGAGGTTCTGCAAGGGGTTGAGCTAGAAATGAAAAAAAGGACCGAGTGGTGCCGATGACCATTAGGAACCATTTTATTGCTTTCTGGCAGTTATGAAGAAAAAGCATTGTCCCCAAGTACTTGATTCGGGATACCATCTCCCAAGATTCTATCCAATCGAAAAGAGGGCCACACAAATGTGCTGCAGTTGCCTTGAGGACAGGGACATTTTTGTACAGATCATAGAATCCAATCAGAACAGTTACCACTGATATAAGCACATACAAAGTTCTAGCTAAGGGACACATCCATGGGCGATACAGGTGACAAAACCCAGGATATGACTGGAGGAATATGACCCAAGATGGAAGTCCCGACTCCAACAGTGTAAGTAACCTCACATTTGCCATTATTATGTCCCTCAATTTGAATGGAAGGTCATGATCATTAAACCTAAACAAGATCAAGACATCCTTATACTGGAAGGAGTCGATCGCATTATCAGAATCGCTAGCACAACAGCTTTCAGGATCGTCCGCTGAATCTTCACTTTCACTATGTTTTTCATCTGCTGAGAAATCAACCTCAACACCAGTGCCGGTGGATCTAATCACTCTTCTCTTCTTAGTCGGGGGAGTGCTTGGTTCACTCATTCGGCTTTCGGGGGAAACAGCAAAGGCATGAAAATTGTTGTGAACATGCTGGGGAGAGTTATTCCTAGAAGACAAATCATCAAAGCAAATTTCTTCATGCGAATCGATACTAGACTCTGAAAATTCTTCTTGAGCATCATGGAACGTCTCTCCTGGATATTCAGAACAAGAGTCAAAAACAAAGCCAATGTGTTCTGTTCTCACTAACAGAAACAATCCAGAGAGAACCAACAGTCCTAGCAGTCAGAAATGTCTTGAATCAACTTGAATTGTTCAAGCAAATTTTTGTTATTCCTGTTATACAATTTAAAATTACATGAGCAAGCGAACTAATTGCAATTAACGTACCGACAAGAAAGCAAGCCTACATTCACACACAACCAGTGTACATTGAAACCACCACGGCTAAGGCAACGGCCACACATAAACCATGCGGATGAGAAATCCGAAGACCATAATTTCTATAAACATGCGATGTAAATATCCATATTCGGTTGACTGCATCAATACCTGATGGAGAATGTTTCTTTCAAGGAAAACAAGTGACGGTAGGACTGCACCAACAACAGAATGCAAACAATTTGATATAGGAACACGTACCTATGGTACTATCCAAATACGCCTTCAGAATCTGCCGTTCCGAAAGGGTCCCTGAAAACCATGAAGACATACAGTTTGCAGCTTGAGCTATGCTATCAAACTCCCACCTTTTCATTATTTTGGCCTCTAGGGCCAGAGATGTATCGGTCTGCAAGGGGCAAGAAATGATGGAAAATTTATCTCTTAAACAACTACAAAAAAACAGAATGTGGAGGACCAGTAGCAAGTGATACCTGCAGCTCATTCAAATAATTTATGCCTCGAACATTACTCCATTCAACTTCGAAAACTATAAAGCCATGTAAAATCCCATGCAACTTGCTATCTAGAAGCAAAGAATTCCGCAATTTCTCCACCGGCATGAGAACTCTCTTCCGGGATAAATTTGCAGCGTTAATTAATTTGAACCATCTCTCAAACTTCTTGGTCTCACTGGGGTCAGACTTGCAACGAGCTTCCTTTCCCTCCTTTGTCTTCCTCCGTGCTTTGCTCTTCGCGAAAGGAGATAGCCTCGACTGCACGAAAAGCAGACGAAACCATCACGCGAGTCATTGGGGATATAAAAAATACAGGGCATACTAAAAAGCACGTAAAAAAAAAAACCAACCTTTGTAACCATCAACTGCCATATTCGGGCTGGGCGGCGCGAGCTAAAGTTTCTCAACCATGGCCGATTGTCCACCAATATGTAAAATTTCTTACTCTCGCAGGCCAAGAAGATACTGAGATCCGAAAGATAAGATTGCAGGTCCCTGCAAATGCACAGCGGGGCCCGAATTAGGGGACAAAAGACACTGATTAGCAAATCCAGCCCCACTAATTACCCTGCTTCTCAACAATTCCACCCATAGAGAGACTGAAGATTGCACCGCAGGAGGAAATTCGCATGCAAAATTCATGTTTGGACTCGAACACAAGCGAAAAACGGACACGATATACTGCCGACCTGTTCCATCCATTCACGATCCAAAATCTTAAGAATACAAAATGCGAGGCCGATTCCAATTCGATTTCGAGCTCGGCCAGAAGGAGATTCAGCCTCCAAAATGCAACGGGACTCGAAGAAACGAGAATCCTCGTCGGAGAACATACCCAATCTGCAAGCTCGTGAGCGGGAAGACGCATCGGCCGGCGTCTCCTTTCCCCATCGGACCCCGAATCGCCACCGAGCTCACCGAAACTCCCTGCAACCGCCAGTCAGACGGAAGAACACAAAAAAAAAAAAACACGAAACCTCTCGCGCGTCAATCCGTGGAAGAATCCCGCGAAACAACGCGCGCCGAGACGGGAATTCCGGCACAAACGTCCCAAAAAGAAGAAGAAGAAGAAGAAGAAGAAGAAGCCAAGGAAGACGCGAGCAACGCGTGCAATGCAACGGACAGAGAGTGACGGGACCTGGATCGGCGAAATCACATGGAGGCGGAAGAGGAGGAGGCGAGGAGGAGGAGGAGCAGGTGAAGGAGGTGACGCAATGGCCACCAAACTTCATCAACGGAGGTGACGAGCGTCGGACGTCATCGTCGCCAAATCGGACGCGGGACGGAAAGAGCGGGGAAGCACGACGGAAACCAACAGGCCAGCGAAACCCGAATGATGGCGCTTCGGAAGGCGAAGAGAAGCGACGAGACGGGTCGGGACGGGGAGGACGACGGCGACGGCGACGGCGACGGCGGCGACGGGCGAGGCGGACGGGACGGACGGCGGCGCGTACGGGCGAGCGCGGATGCGGGAAGTACGAGGGGGGAGTCGGCAAGCTTCGTCAATGGCGGTCGCCTCGCGGAGCGGAACTCGAATGGGAATCGGGATTTGGATTTTCGGATTTGTGTTTTTTTTGGCTTCGCTCGTAAGGCGCAGCAACGGCAAAAGAAAATAAAAATAAAAATAAAAGGAGGTAAGAGGGACACGTAAAGAATTTTCGATTTTTTTAGGAGAAATAAAAAAAGGAAGGAAAAAAGAAAAAGGCGACGTCATTCGATACTCGCGGGTCCGGGGCATGCACCAAACCCCAAAAATTAACGTTTTTGAGGTTCGTGGGACTAATGTGACGCGCTTCGGGTCATGTTGATAATACATTCGCTAATGAATAACAATATTTGGTTCCTTTTTTGTTTTCCGTTGTTGCCAAAAACAAACATTTAATTCATGTTTTGTCCCGAGCGCGCGCATTTTCTTTTCTGATCCTTTTTTTCCCCGTACAATCCCGTGTTTCGCTCGTTTCTGATAACCCGATCCCGATATTTACTCGGTAATTTGATCACCCTTTTATTATCTAGATGCTCTCGATCTGCGAACCAATCAGCTCGCCGACGGACGGATCGTGAACGAGTCTCCTTGACGAGTGTGGTTTTAAGATACCTGTTCGGATAATTAATTGAGAATATTTCGATTTTTTTAATTTATGAGTTACGTATAATATAACAAGAGAGAATATCATATTTCAAAAGGCCAAAAAAAAAAAAACTGTTCATTTTGCTCGGTCGATTGATTATTTAGCGAATAATGACGCGATAAAAGTCGGGAAAATAAAACGCGGCTAACGTATAAGCGAGTTTCGGGCGGCGGAAGGATCAGATACGTCCGTACATGCACGCTTTCTTCGGCGTGCCGCGGGGAGGGGGAGGGCATGGGATGGTGAATAAGCGAGGGGGAGAGGGGCAGGACGGTAAAATGACGAGGACGGGGGAGGGTCGGGAAATTTCCGGGAAAACGGTTCGGAAGCAAGAAAGCCCGTTGAAAATGACGGAATATTATTTTGGTAATATTCGGATGCCCTCGTTTTAGGGAAAAAAAAAATCACAAACAAAAAAAAAATCGCTTTTTTGGACTTTATAGATACCTGCAACCCATCATGGAGCGATGGCGATATATCCATTTTGCGCTATTTTGTTTAATTATGTAAATGAGATTTTTTTCCCACGGAACACTATAAAAGGAATACTAGTTACCCGCTTAAGCGATCGAATTCTCGGGTCCATTAAACGAATTCACTAACCCTACGGACTAACCGGACACCGGGCAAGCGGGGGAGCTCGAATAGGGAGTGCTCCAGTCGTCGGACCGTTTTCGCGCTCTTCGACGAGTGGCAAAATCGAGGCACGCGTCGCGGAGGTGATCGATGCGCGAATCTGTCAACAATCACCGAGTCAAAATTATACCAGTTTGGAATTTAATTCGATCTGTCGAATCGCCAAGCGCTTTAAAAGCTTCGTGGTCCTGAATTGCATCTTCTTCGTCATCATCATGAGCCTATAGTAGTAGCGGTGGTGGTGGCAGGAGGAGCCATATTGGATTCTAGGGGCGTGCCTCTTTTTACAAAAGGGGCAAAACAAAAGGGGGGTGGGGGAGGAAGGATCCTTCGTAGGTGTCTAGCCGTGCAGGTTGTAGCAAGGTACTGAAAAGCATCAAATTGCTCGCGGCCACATGGGCTTGGCAACTTTGGGATTTCACGTAGGAATCTCATTTTTGCAGCAATCGATTTCGATTTTTTCCTTTCATTTTTTTATTTATTTATCAATCTCTTTGTTTTAATAGTGACTTTGTTCGTTGTTTATAATAAATGGCAATGCCTGCTTGGGATAATCGGTTCCCGATCCAGTCCGGTTTCAAGGTGGAACCGGGAATTGGACCGAGAGAACCGGTTCCCAATTTTGGGAACCGCGGACCGGACTGGTTGGTTCTAGGACCGGTTCAATGGAACCGGTCACTTAGAGTTTAGTTTTTTTTTTTTTTTTGGTTAAACACTTAAGGTTTGGTTCACATTTTACTAATTTTTGTCAATGAAGTTCACTTAGGGTTTAATTCACATTTTACTAATTTTTATCAATGAATTTATGATAATGAAGTTCACTTAGAGTTTAGTTCACATTTTATTAAATTTTTTAAAGAAAAAAATAACAAATATATATATTAAATAGTCGGTCCGGTCCGGTCCGGTTCCGCTTTTAGGAATCGGGAACTGGACCGATAGTCCCAAGAACCGGACCAAACCCGTCAATCCGGTCTGGTCCGATCCGGTCCCGGTTTGGGCGGTCCAAGTTGCTCACCCCTAGTGCCTACATGGTTTTTTTTATTCCTTATTTTACTAGACAGTGCACTTGCACATACATTGTCAACATGGAATTACTTTATATTATCGTGAATTGGGCTCTTCGAAATCAATCATTTGAGTAATTATCGAGGCAGGGAGAAGATACCAAAATAATTGCCTTTCTCACTATAGTTTCTTAGAGTTGTGCTAGAATTATTTGGGTGTGCCCTTTTTATAGGCGATTATAAGTTCCTTTCATCAAACTTTGTTTTTATTTTTAAGTTTTTATTTGGCCATGCGATTTTTATTTTCATGATGATCGATCATGGTCAAACAAGAGCCATTGATCAGATAATTTATATTCGACTCGAACCGGATAGTACTGGGTTCGTAAGTTCATTTCGTTAGCTAGGCATTTTTATTAGAACCGGGCCGAAAATCAAATTGGATTTCTAAATATGACGAGGTTGAATCTATTTAAATTGATTCGTATTGAATATTAACCACACGAAAATATTGTTCGACCAAACTAGTTTATTTTGATTCGATTATAGCACCGATACCACGTTTGAGAGGGTGGGAGGGGGATGAAAACTCTTATTAAGAAAATTAGGGGGAAATTTGAATTTCGGAGTGCTAGGAAAAATCGATGCGGGGAAATTTGCCACAAAGATTTTCTATGCGCCTCACAAGTTTTAGTTCTCATTATAATTTCCCAATTGCCACTCTTTCGGACATAAAAAAAAAAAAGGGAGAATCACTCTTCGCACTGGGAAAATACTTGCCTGAACTCCGAATTGAAGTCAACTGGATCGGTGCCATTCGGGTTCCATTCCGGCGGCCGATTATGTACTCCTCAAACACGAGATCTACATAAGACTCGCATGATCGATGACCGATAAATTCGACCAAACGAGCTCGAGGCCAAACGACAAAAAATCAAGAAGAAATTCCCCCATTCCCTATTATCTTCGCATCCATAATAATCTTTCCATCCATACCACATTTTGACCTTACATTTTGGCTGCCTATAAATAAGCCATAGTACGGATGCAGCTCCTTTCATAATGGCTCCCCCCCCGTCATCAACCATAATTTTATCCTTATCCCATGAAAAGGTTCGGGCCCCACAGGAGGCCCCACGATTCACCGCGATGGATCGCGGGACCCACAGGGTTTTGTAAGCATCTGGAAGGCCACGTGGCACAATCAGCGGCGGTCCCTCCCTCCCTTTGTTCTGTCTGTCTCATCATCGGCTTGACTTGACATCGACCTTTCTAGATTTTCTTTTGACATTACTCACAAGCCCAAGTTGATTCTCTCCGTATTAGCAGAGATCATTCACATGATCGAGCCTAGTAGCCCCACACACCTTATATCTTCCATTCACATATTAGCTAATCAAAAATTGAACGAACGCCATTTAATGCCTCGAAATGTTACCAAACGCGGACCGAGTGCCGATCATGCAATATAATACAACACTTGGATGATTGCTGAATGTTACATTTAGTGACGTGCATTTCACCTAATATCATAATCGCCATTCATCTAAATGACATTGCTCATGAGCCACAGAGTGAGTTAACTTCGATCGTCACAGGGATATATTTGCGATGAAATGGCAGTATCCACATCGAACGGGTCGGATAATAAAATGGAATCTCTAAAAGGTTCATAAAGGTTAAAGGGGGAAAAAGGGGAGAAGAAAAATGGGAATATAGAAAAAGATGAGAGAACTGCAGCCACAATTTTTTCGGAGGTCCAATCACACAATGCCTTGGTTGCGCACTTTTAAAGACCTGCTCAGTTCCCGAATGACTCGTGTCTCAGCGCATGTACACAATAATGAGTCGTAACGGCACATTTCCATCAATTCACAAGCTCCGTTACTCTGAACTCTACATTGTTGAAGTAATCACGTAAGGTCGATAGCAAACACTCCGAGTCTTTTAAAACACGAGAACTTCAGTGCATTTTTACAGGTTTCCAATGGTTTGATCAAAGAACTGATAAATCATATTAGCCTTTACAAACGAATGGAGATCTTGCCTTTGAACTAGGCGCTGCCTGTCTTTATCGGAGGCCAAGACAATCTCCGGCTACCCGTGCCATCAGCAGGATGGTGCTCCCCGACCTCGCTGCTGTCATCTTCAAGATGCTCGATTCCTTGCCCTCTCCTGCTTCTGATGGCTAAGTCGTCAATACTCGACTCGTTTCTCCAGGAAGGCGGAGTAACGCAGTTGGACACTCCTAGGATTTTCTGCGAAGGGTCTCCGCTCGGTGTCGCGGGCAAAGAGGGGAAAGATTGACCCACTCTCAGCTTTTGCAGGGTGGCAAATGACTCTCTCATGGCAGACATAGCCTCAAAAAATCTGGTGCATGATGCTAAGGCCACGGGAATAGGGCGAAGCATTTCCTGTGTCGATGAGATAGAATGATCTATGAGTTCCAAAATTTTGTCAGACAAATGCTGAAAATTTTCTTCAGGACAGATTCAACATTAAATCTCCATTAAAATGGGGCTCATAATTGTGACGGAGAGACGAAATCTTCAACTTACCCCCCAAACTGTAGGAGGTTCCTTGAAGTTCTGGCTCCATTGAAAATCCGCAACAGATGCTGTCAAAGCACCATAGTCGCTGGCAGCCTTCATCAGCAATTCTGAAAATTGTTTCTGTCATTTAAACAAAAAATGCCATTAGCATCAAAGTAGAGCCTTTTTTGCCCCAACTGATAGCAATCCATAAATAACTGCAAAGACGCCATTCGACAGAAACGAGTTGCTTTCCTAATTAAAA